CAGAGTTCAGGCCCCACGACCAGACCCAAAAGAAAAAGAAAAAAAGAAAAGAAAACACCCAAGCCCAGCCCAGCACTGGCTCACACTTGTCATCCTAGCTGCTCAGGAGGCTGAGATCTGAGGATCACAGTTCAAAGCCAGCCTGGGCAGGACAGTGAGACTTTGGTCTCCAATTAATCGCCAAAAAGCCAGAAGTGAAACATGGCTCAAGTGGTAGTGATGGTAAAAGCTATGGGACAGTAACCAGGTCCTGAGTTCAAGCCCCAGTCATGACAGTACACGTGAGCACACAGGCTTGTGTGCATATGCACCATGCATGCACACAACACATGAAAACACCCAGCACTTGCTCCTTGAAGGCTGCACACCATTGGAAGAACTTTGCAGGTCAGACTCACTGGGGGGCCTTTAATAGGCATCCAGCTGGGATCAAGCCAGCCTGGGGGGAGGAGTTCCCCAAGCCTGTGCCCACAACAGCTATCCATCCTGCCTCCCAGAGCAAAGGCTGCTGAGGAAGCCCACCACAGGCCACATGCAGGGAGACGCCACTGAGCCCAGGCTCCATGGCCATCGGCGCCCACCCAACTCACCAGGCTCAAGGGCAATGCTTAGTAAGGTGTGCAGCTGATAAGCATCCAGTTCCTCCTCCTGGAAGAGAGAGCAGCTGGTGAGGCCCTGTGCAGGCCAGAGCTGGGGACTTGGCTCTCAGGGTTCACTTGGGTCAGGGCAGTTAATGGGGAAGGTGCGGGCTGCAGGAGCCCATGGATGGCAGCTTCCAGCTAAAGCCACTTTGGAAACACAGCCTGGAAAGGAAGAAAGGAGCCAAAGGTACAGACAAAGGCACCGAGGCAGGGAACAGCTGCAGTCCTAGAAAAGCAACTAAGGGCGTGTAAGCATGGAGGCTGAGGAAGGGAGCACCAACCAAGAGGGCTGGGCTCTGGGGTCAGAACAGACACACACACAGCATTCTTTTCTCACCCCTCCAGCCAACTCCAGAAACAGCTGCACCAGCTCCAGCTCCAGGGGCTCATAGGGGACCTGCGCCAAGTGAGGAGAGTTGAGTCCTGACCCAAAGCCCTATCTGGCTCTGACCTCCGGGCCGGTGCACCCGCTTGCTGCCCCCTCCCAGAGCAGCCCCGCACCGTCAGGGCCTCCAGGTCCGCGCTGATGACGTCATCGATCTCCCTGCAAATACAGACCAGACTTGGAGACAGGGCCGGGCCTCGGCCAGGAGCCCAAGGGCCCTGGGGGCGGGGCTGTCTGCCGGGGGGCGTGGCCCAGATCGGGCGGCGCCAGGGGCTAAGGCTACACTGTGGAGTGTAGAGCCGGGGGTGGGGTGGGTGACAGGAGGGGGGGTCTGGGGCGAGGTGGAGGTGGGCTCTTGCACACTTGCACGCGCGCGCGCGCACACACACACACCCCACCCCGTCCGGGGTCCCGGGCTCACACCGCCGTGTGGCCACGCTCGGAGAAGATGCGCAGCGTGAAGTCGGCCTCCTCGCCGGCGCGGGCGGCGCTGGGCACCACCAAGTAGTGTCCGGGCGGCAGGCGGCAGCGGCGGCTCACGTCGCGGCGGGCGCAGAACACCGAGCGGTCGGCGCGCAGC